TTGGTGTCACTTGGTGTTGGAAAAAAAAAATTAAAGACGTCTTAAATGTGCTAATAATACTAAATGATTTCATAAGATCATCTGCATCATCAGCTGTTTTGTTATTTCAACACCTCTATATGCGTCATAATTGCTGCAGGAGCAAAAATTAAGCAAACAAAGATTCTGCAGACTGTTAGTTTCCAAACCCAATGACTTCTGGTTCACATATACACAAATCTGAAACTGTCATTAATGTGCACACTACTGTCCTGCACGGTGTCACTCCATCATAATACTGGCTCCCCCTATTGGCCATCTGTATATAAAGTTTAAAGACGTGAATGAAGCTCTTCAACATCCACACAGGCACTTTCACTTTTTATTAATTACTCAGACTTCTGCTTGAGTTCAAATTCAGTTAATGAGGTCATCACACTTCACAACAAAATGTGACAAATTGATGTGAATTTGATGGAGGTGTAGTTACTATAAAACACAACAACAATCAAGAGTACAGATCAATGTTGAGATTAAAACTACAAACACAGACTTTGCCTGCATTGTTCATCATCTCTCATAATGCCATGCTCTAAGGCAGGGGTTCCCAAATTTTTCAGGTCGTGACCTCTAAAATAAGAGTGACAGAAACTGGGGACTCCTCCACTGTTCTTTAAGGTGGTTAGTTAGGTATATAACGTAGCGACAGCCACGCACACACTGATAAACCTATTCAAAAACTAGTAACACAAAATAATACAACAGCCTAAAAACTATTAATTTAATTTTCCATTTCACTTAATGACACTGTCTTATATGACATTGGACTACTTTTTGTATATTTACAAAAATGGGTAAAAAGATATACTTGTGCATTTTAAAATTATTTTTATTTTTTATGGAAGGCATCTCGCGACCTCCCTCTTGGTGGCTGGCGACCCCCCTGGGAGTCCCGACCCCCACTTTGGGAACCAGTGCTCTAAGGAATGGAGGACATGCTAACTGACTGTCGTAATCACTTAAATTTATGATACATAAATCACAGTGAGTGACAGCAATGAGTCGGAAAGACTGTGTGGAGTTTTCTTTTTGTCAACAATGCCACAATGCAACTCTCCAGACATTTGAAGTGTCTGAAATCAGTTGAGTACTAACCACAGTGTTGATGACAATGAGGGAAAAAGGGCGTCATTCTGTACGTGTTACTCTTTTGGTTTGATTTGATTTGCCCTTACAATCTCCTCCAGAGCAAACTGTATATTCAGTTAGAAATGATGCACACATTATTCAGAGTCATCATCCATAAGTCATCATAATGTTTCCAGCAGTTATGACGGGGTTGCAGGGTTCTAACGGACCTAATTCTTCAGGGACAAGTTACATTCAGTAAACCCGACGGTGACGGGTCAGTGTTCCGGTGAAATCTGACGATCTTATTTCCCTTTTTTCCCCCTATGGCAGAGAGGCAGGAAATGGCCCACTGGGTTCCCATGGCAACACAGTGTGGATGCTTCTCGTAAATATTAGCACTGTCCCTCAAGAGCTGATGATTAAACGTACTAATAGAGCCACTCACTTTCACTCATCCTCTGTCATTACAGCTCGCTGTGCTCCTTCTCAGCACGTTAGCAAAACATTTATTCTCAAGGAAGAACAAATAAACACTCTTTATTTCTCCACTAACTTCGTAAAGAGGACAATTGGGCCTGAAACAATAAAATAACAGTAAGAGAGCAAAATTGATGGGAAGTTTCCAGACTTTGAATAACAAGGTCATCTGTTACCTTCATCATTAACAACTGGTAGAAAACGGTCCCAATGCAGACTCATAACGAGGACTGGCTTTAAAGAAGTTAGCTAAGAGAAAAACAAGTGTTTGAACAAAGTGTCACACCCTGAACCACAACACTTGAGCAGGGAAAACAGCTCCTCTACCAGGTCGTGATGCTACATAAACTGTCCGTTATGAAAAAGATAATCAGGAACCAATCGGAGGAGAGAATCAGAATCTCTGTAAGCGTCATGAGGTAAATACTAGGGGGGGTGATTTTTCAGAGGAAAGAAAAAGAGTTGACCCTTCCTTACTATGAGATCTGCTTTAAAACATCACAAACCCTGTGACATGTTGCTTCACCACACTACTTCATTTAGTCGGAGCAAAGCAATAATCAAGTGTATTTACTTACACTCCTACTCCTTACCTTTGCATTCCTGTGGCATGAGAGGTGCACGATATATAAATCTTTAAAATGTAGACTGGAGGCTTTTCAAAGACACAGCACTGTCACCTTACGTCACCTAAGATACACACTGTTGTGTTACAAGTGGAACAACCCACTGACATGTATGAGGGCAATCTGTCTTAAACTAACAGAGAAATGTGGCGCCAAAAACTTATGAACCGCATCATTGCGTGTGTCTGTGAGAGATAAGGGACGTCCCATGGGAGTTGTAGTGTAATTATGGTTTAGAGTTTGATTATTCCCAACCCATCTTCACATCTCTTTTCCCCTCTCCCTCAATGTCAAGAACACTCAAAATCAAAGGCCTATATTCAAGAACAACAAAGACGACTGATACAAAGGAACGTTCTCCTGTTACCAACAACCACACAGAGACATTAAAAAACATATATCCGATCCTAGAGAACAGAAAACTTCTTGATGCCTCAGAAAAACTTCCCAACACGTCTTCACCCTGCATTGTTTCTGCCTCTGTATCATCACATATTTGCACTCCTACACTTGCAGCATCTGCGGTTTATTATGCCATCAACTCTCTGTGATTGCAAACACTCCCCTTTGTGATTAAGCCAGATTCCTTCAACGCTAGCCTGCATGTGTGCCGACATGAAACCGGCCGTTGTGGTCTGCGTTATGCAACGGCAGAATCCATTTTCCAAAGAGCAGAGTTTGAGAAATTGGCCTTCTGCTTACACCATAAACTGCTTTCACTTATCTTCATTTAAGGTGATGTATAGATGTAGCCCAGCTGACTCTAAACTGTCTGCAAAGGTTACCAGTAAACACAGCGCTTTAGGTATCAGGCCTGAGTGTGTGTCGTCCCTCAGAAATTCAATAATATTCAAGGTCTGCTTACTCTAATGTTATAACTCACATGTAACACAGGGCAGATGGTAGCACTGCAATCTTGTTATATACGTAATCTGCTAGAGAATCATTTCCCAACTGATTGATTATGCTGACTCAGGTTTTTTCCAGGCAGCAGCAAACACAATTATTTTGTATGTTAGTCTGCATGTGAGCCATGCTTCTTCAGGTTTACACAGATCCATCCAGTGCTTTCTGTAAATCTCTAAACGCGGTGTTAGAGAGTGGGAAATGTACACAAGATTGAAGCTTACATGATCCAAAACTAATTATCAATCACATGCAAGAATACACAGCAACATGGATCATGTTGCAGAAAATCATCGACAGCATCTCAGGACACTGCACGGCTGAGATTCTACTTCACATTCACAATATGCTCTATAGGTGCAGCATGAGGGTCTTCTTTTCCCAAGGTTTGTTTTTCATATATTGGTGGATGTTGCCTAGGTTATGTATAAGCACCCAGGGATTATGATGGGCCTTGAAGCCAATAAGACGAGAGAGAAAGCACAGTTTAGTGGCATCCAGATGTGAGAGGAGAACAAATGCTGAATGTGACTTCCCATCAATTTTGTCTGCTTGAAAACAACTGAAGCGCCCAAAAGCTGCTCTGTGGTGAAATGCACTATAAAGCTTTCATACACTGTCAAGGAGAGGGGGGGGGGGGTAGACCTGCAGGATCCTGCACTTAGTAAACAAGTGGATAACAGTAGAAGCTTTAGGTCTGGTTTCCATCTTGTCTTCAGCTTAATTATACTCATCTGGTGATTTGTTCAAACATCATTATCTGTAAATATCAAAACAAGGTAACTTCTGGTTATTCAACGGTATCATTCCTTCAAAACAAAGAGAAGCAGAAGAGAAACAGAGACAGCTCAAATCTCTCATGGACTTACTGTAATGATGCTGAAATATTCCCTTCACATAGTCTTGTGTTTTTGGTTAGTATTGTTTGGGCACTTAGAGAGAACACTGTGCTGAGCTCTTTCTCTAATGCAGGGAGTGTATAATTAATGGGTCTGTCATTTAATGCAGAGTGGCCCAAAATACTTCTTTATTCAACTACTTGCATTCAACAAAAAATGACAGATCAGTGGATATTTTTAAAGTATATAAACTTCCATTTACTTCTGATTAATCTACAGTTTATTTGCATACAATACTGTTCCATCAAGAGGCTACCAATGGGTACTATATGTTTCAAAGGAGGAAAACAAAACCCACTAACACATCACTAATTTCAGTTCCTGCTGCCATGAACAGATCGTGAAGTTGGCGCGTGCAGGTTTAATTTGTCATCATTATTCCTTCAGCTGGGACAGCTCTCTGGCCTCTCTTAATGGAAATATCTGCCATCAGTTCAAAGTGAGTGACAGCAGTTATCCCACCGTCCAAACTGGCATTACTTTACAAAGCTGACATATAAGTGGACATCACATAAGCTCTTAAAGACCTCTGACATAAATGTTATTTTATGTACAAATATCTTTTCCAGACTGTGGCCACATCTCAGGATTTAATCCTTTTCTAATCACTGGCTCCAGAGAAACCCAAACAAATACTGTAGGATGAAATCCAGCTGTCTGCCACGTGTAAACACTCAGTTCTGCTCAGCTTTGACACTGATTGACTTGAGCAGAGCATGCACAAACTGAGGACTGACTTCATGATGAAGAAATCCACTCCAAGACAGGAATCATTCCCTATTGGAATACTGCTTTCTCCCTGTTTGGCCTTTTACTGAGCATTTCTGATGGCTTGCCAAAACATAATCAACAACTAAGACATTTTAGACTCTATTGTCCCAAATGTATTTTTTAAAGTAAAGATATTGGACGATTGTTAGTTTAAGCTAATGCAGTAATCTCAGTCAGTAGTCACTGAATCTAATTATCACTGACAGTGAGAAACAGCAAGAAACACCTTTAATGGGTTTGTAACTGTTAAGGTACATGTGGTCAAACATGGTACTGCACCCCAACATCAATCAGTCACCATTCAGTTAGTCTACTTTTAGACACAATATTAACTTCACACGAAAAGACAGTGTACAAATCATAGACACCTGACTTAAACACGTCCTAAATATTCATGAGCATACTCTCTTTGCAATGAAAACATCAATAAGTCCATTTCATATTACGAACAGCAATGTAGCCGCCTGTGCTACACACAAGTATCCAATAGGCTAACAGGCTAATGGTATGCTAACTTGAGAATATGGAGCACAGCAACTTAAATATCTTCCTTGGTTATTAACGAACAAGTAAACCAACTTCTAAGTATTTAAAGCTTTACAGTAAATGTCTCCTACAATGATTATGGTTTACAAACTGACAGCCGGAGGGAGTTTGGCCAAAGAAAAGAAACAAGCTAGCCAAAATATTAAAATATCAAGTGGACAAACAGACAGAGGGTGTTTCTGAATTACCTTATTCAACGTCCTGGTCTCCTTTCCTCCATTTGACATGAAATTCAGTGTCTTTCTTGAAGTCATTTCGCTTTTCTGACTTTGCTCATTTTCAGGCTAACAGTTGCTAACTTTAGCCGCCAAGCTAATAACATGTATTATACGTGTTAACGCATGTTTGTAACTTTTTACATAGATTTAATTACATTTAGTTTAATATTGAGGTGCCTGACCATGAAAGGGCTGACCTCTTATTTCAAATCTCTTTTGCCGGTATGTTTCCATTCAAGGGGGCGCTGTTTCTCACTGTCAGTGATAATTAGATTCAGTGATTACTGAATGAGATTACTACATTATCTTAAACTAACAAACTGTTCAGTGTGTTTTCTTCTGTCTGCCAACTATTTCAAATGTAACTTTATCATTCCAGCTCAGTTTTGTATCCAAAAGCCCGTCAGACCTCAATACAAGGCTTGGATTGTACTTTCCCCCTTCATCTGAGACATTAATGAACATGAACCACATCAAAACCCAGCGTAACCAATGAAACCAGACCAGCTAAACTAACATTTACTGGCTTTGTTCTGCATCTAGACTGATGGGAAAATAATTACACAACCATCCCATGATGCCTCTGTTATTACAGTACAGGAGGTGGACTAATGAGAGTAGAACCAGTTCCAGGATGTAGATATCCTTCATCTAAAATTACTGCGATGATTGTAATGCCAGATCAGTCAAAACACTACTCATGAGTGATGAGGACATTGGAAGCATGCCTTTCAGATCAAAACTTCACTCGTGTTTGCTAACTTCCAAATGAAGCTCATTGGTTGTGTGTGTGGCAAATGAATTCTCATATCAGTGGGATAATGTTTTTAAAACTTGGGACTACATTAATAAATCTGTGCAGACATAAAAAATATTTTCACAAAATAAAACTCTAAAGCCTAACATGAGAAAAACACTGCTAGTCCTCAAAGACTAAAACTGATAGAAAAAGAGAAAACTTAAGCTTTAAATTATATCCTTACAAATCCATTGTCAGCTTATCAGGAGTTCATCAGGCAAGAAACTGCACTTACATAAAAAAACAAGACTGAAACTCAACATTTCTGTGGAACCCAGAAACACTCACAGAACATGTGCAAATGTGAAGAAACATGAAGAGTGTGTTTATGCATATTCATAGATTTCCTTTCATTCAAACGTTCACAGTGTCTTTTGGTCCATTCCACATTTCAGAGTATAAAATGTCTTAATGTAAAACTAATTCTATAGTGTTAAAAACAGAGGAATGAGGTCGGACGGGGTCTAGATCTGGTGGTGGTAGCTCGTAGTGGGCTTGTCGATGGGGGGTCCTTTAATTGAGGCACAGGTATCTTGTGCTTATTTCAAACACCTGTTTATAAGCCCGATGATTTAATAATGGAGTCATTATCATCACTACAGTTCAGAGTGAAGGTTAGCGTTGTTGTCTGGAGCAGAAAGCCGGGAGGAGGAGGAGGAACCCGTTCCTTCTTCAACATCATTTCCCTCCACCGTCGCCTCGTCTACGTCCTCATAGTGGTCGTGTGCTGACGGAGTTCGCTGCTGGGCTGACTCCGGTTCCTGCATGTCCATCACTTTCAGGAAGTCGTAGAAGTCGTGAGCAGGAGGCCAGCTGTCGTCACCCAACATCCCTGTGGAGACAGACCAAGACAAGAGATCGTTACTAAAGATGAGACAGTAACTCATCAGTCTTCTTTAGCTAATTGGAAATAATAATATCGTCACAGCTGATTCCAGTTTTGATTATTTTTTTACCACTTGAGTTCATCTACGTTATTATTAAATGAATTACAGAAATTAATGTTGGGAAAAATACATATACATGCACTTTAAATCTAACAGCATAAAAACAAACTCAAACAGCCCAATGTTTTGTCACAGGAGGTAAAAGTCTGGTCAGGTTGTAGGTCTCCTGTTTCTCCAGAGAGAATGTGGGGAATGTGCTGGATGACAATCCTTCAGTCCAGATTGGCAGGGCGACGAGTCTCAGCAGGGTCTGTCTCTTATCTTCACCCACACCAATACAAACGACAGGGGTCAAAGGTCAAGAGTTAATGGATCCAGAGAGCCATGCTTTAAAGCCTTCATTGAAAAAAGCTTTTTCTGTTCATTTAGCTACTCAACTCAAAGTGACTCGTACATTACATTACACTCCTCAGACAGCGACGCCATTAGGGCCATTACATCATCATAATAAAGTAGAGTTGTTGTCATATTCCCTCACAGAGACCTTGAGGCGTACAAACACTCTAAATCTCTCTTATTCTCTAAAATGTCATTTTGTTTTTTTCTATGTTCCTTCTTTCTATGCTTGGAAATGTTGAACAGACACACGTCATGTAGTCATCTGACACAGTGCTGTATGTAGGCCCAAGGCAAAAACCTATGAACCACAACGCTCCTCCTCTTCCAGTGAATTTTATTGACGAACGTTGGTTTTTACAAGAGTAATACATGAGATGCATGTGGGAATCCCAGGTTTCCCACTGTCATTGCACTGTCATTGCACCACTATGGTTCAATGTTTGTAAGCCCTCTGGGGGCTAAGTGGCCTGGGGTCAGTTGCCTGCCTTGCCTGTTATAAGCAGCACCGCTGGCAGTGAAAAACACAATCGGAGAAACTCCTGCTGCTCAAGAGAGAGAACGCACCTCTCAGTAAAACTCCTGCTGTGTCTGGTTTTTGCTGATGGATGCACAGCATTTTTTGCTCGCTTGTCAGCAAATTAGGTATGGGTGGAAAAATTAATCGGGTGTAAAAGTGAGAGTGAATTCAGCAGAGAATCAAAAACACAACCAGATGTAGACTGTAGTTTTAGCAGCAGGTGTCCAGACGGCCTCACCACGGCTAACTTAAAAGAGCCAATAAGTTGAACAGAGCGGGAGCAACTTACAGCCTCACTGAGATCTCTAGAAACAAATATCTGTGTTTTAGTGAGTCACTTTTTGGATATTGTTTATGGATCTTCTCCGTCCTGTTGTTATGTGTTAAGGAACATCTTCTTCAACATCCTTTTTTAAAACATACTTATCGCTGAAACTTCAGCGTAAAAATGTAAACAAAGGCCCTGTGTTATGTAAAACACTTTGTTGGAATCCACCTCAGTGTCAGCTGTGACGGCTAGGAATGACTCTACAGAAACACTCTTAATTCTTGCTGTCTGGTCACACACACAGATACATATCAATTATTTATCCTGTCTAACCTCACCAAGCATTTCTACTTTAAAAGAGATAAAGGCAACATAAGCTTCATTTCTTAATGACTCAGTCTAACTTGCCATGGTTTGGTCCCGACACACTGCCAGTTATTTCACAGCGATTAAGACAGAGTACCTTCCTGTGCCCCTACTTTATGAAACAGATGCCCAAAGTTTTTTATTTACAATTTAAAGTACAAATTAAAAAATACATGTGACATTGATATGTTAAGAAAACTACAAGCAGCATTCTGCAATAAATAAGACCTAATAGTCCCACCTCTAACAGGGCAAATAGCCAATCACAGCTTACGATGAATGAGAAACTTAAATGCAAAATATATTTGTTTATCTGCACTCATTACTTATTATGAGCTAAATCAAACTTCTTGATTAAAAAAGGGTACTTTATTCATTTTCTTCTGTTGAGGCAAAGAGACTTTGAAAGGATTCTTTTGTAAAACTGGAGCTCGTTTGGAACCTTTGGGAGGCTCCTACCGTCTAGCAGATGTGTTGAGTAGATAAAACATTTTCTGTGAGGATCCTGTCAAATTTGAAATGACTTTTTGACCCTATTCAATTTTTGTTTTTAATAACTTCTGAACGTACTTACAAGGGAAAAAACTGTCAAAGGTATCCAACATACCTTGAACAAAATCTAAATATTTCTCAGTCTTTTCTTCCATACAGTGAAAAAAAGTGGTTCAAATATTTTGTGCTACTTCATAATACAATATACTTGAAAGTAGGGGTATGGTATCGCAGGGTTCCTCACAATACGATAGGATACCACACAACAAAAGGGTACAATACGACATGATTGAACTTGAAAAGATGTGGCCTGAGGAGTCATTAAGTCAAATGACTCCTCCTTACCTGCGGGGGATTCTTTGCCATCCTCGACCCTCTGCAGCCACTGCAGCACAGCAGGCGCTCCTATGGGGGTGTTGGAGGGGTACTGGTAGATTTCATCTCCAGAGGGCAAATGTGTGAGGACCAGAGCAGGGAGGGGGGGCATGGAGCCCAGGTATGACCCCAGGACAGACATACCAGCTGGAGTACGGCCACTGGAACACAATGCAACAAAATACATTTAAAACAATCGAAAGTGTATAAAAATAGACAAAGTGGAGTACATGATGGATGACTGGAGCTTCAAATCTAGTGAGCTGAGTCTGTTCTATTGACTGACTGAAGGACTTATCGATGTACATACAGGTGGATCCAGCAGGCCAGGTAACGCTCCATCTTCCCCCCACCCAACTCTACCACTCCTCTCATCTCCTCCAGCAGCGCCTGGTTCTGCCTCCAGCCGATCTCATCCTCCTCTTCTCCCACAAAGAGGAGGAGGAGGGCTTTACCCAGGGAGAGGAAGGACGGCAGGTTCTCCACTGTGAGCTCAGGCTGGAGAGAGAAGCGAGAAAAGGATTAAGCTAGAAGGAAACCTGTTTAATATGATCATTCACACCCCTATCACAAGAGCTGGACAAATTTAAGGGAATGTATGCAAATGACTGTATCACTATCTTTTTCATTAATATCTCTTAAACGTTTTTCCAATAAAATTTTAAACTATGACTAGAATTTAGTTTTTTTAAGAGACTGTATGCAAATTATCAGCTCTGGCAAAAAAAAAAGACAACATTTTCAGATTTTCTGAAAACCTTTTTTAATCAATTGTAAAAAGAAAATCTAATATAAATAACAATAGTGTGAATGCTGTTTACAACATTCCCACAAATTATTAACTAAGACCTGAGTTTTTATAATTTAAGGGGCTGTGCTCAAAGTCTAAGCGCTGTCAAAAATAAATTAAATTAATCACTTTACCTATGGTAAACAATATATATACAAATGTTTTGTTTTGCCCAGTTAAAAAAATGATAATCTACGACTGGTATAGGACTCATTTAAGGGACTGTATGCAAATGATAAGCTCTACAGTTTTTTTTACAGTTTTTATTTTGCAATCTTTTTAAATGAAACCCTAAAATCTTTTTCCAATATCATAAATTATAAATTATGACAAGAGTTGGAACTATTTAAGGGACTGTATGCAAATAATCATCTATAAGAAAAATTTAATTCAACACGTTTTTTTAAATGTCAAAAAAAAAAAAAATGTTTTATCGTGACTGTTAAAATTTGCAAGAATTTTGAGAATAAAAAAAATAAAAACTCCTTCAGCATACCACACCATCATCAGAGTGAGTCTTGTTTTCTGAATGCTCTTAACTGGCTTGAATACACTTTATTAATAATTAAATAACAAACTTTTTGTTGCCTTAATGAAGCTGAAAAACAACAGCGCCACCCAGAGGAAGACTGTGTTCAAACTTTGAACTTTTCAATGTAAACACCAAACTTTGCACTAACCTTGACCCTGGTGTCCACACTTAAACTCATGCGGAGCCTGTTTGAACATCACTTCTTTTTATCTGTTTACACTAGAGAATGTAAACTCTGACATAACGCATACTCTGACCTTGGATCGTGTGGAAACTACATCCAGACTCTGTCCACATATGGTGCTTGTTATTGAACGATTCCATCTTCTTACAATTTAATGAGATTTAAACGAGGTTAGGCCACATTCTGACTTCAGCTGTATGCATTTATTCTGAACTTTTATGACACTCTTTTGAGTATTTAGAAGTATTTCTCAATGCAAACATGACTGTATCACCCAGCGAGACACTCGGTTTACTCACTCACCAGTGGATGCAGCAGTGCAGACTTAATGTGTGTGAGCAGCTCTTCAACAGAAGTTGGCAGAGTCAGTGAGGAAGGACGACTCTGAGTCCTCCACGATGGAAACACAAACACTCCAGGAAGGCCCACAGTGTGCTCTGCAGCCCTGCACACACAACATCACACTTAAATACACTTTGTACACATTTTAAAAAATCAACCGAGAAGAGAAATTGCATCTTACTGAATGTAAGACTGAATGCAGAGCTGTTACCATTCCTCTGCCAGCTCAACTGTCAGCAGCCCGCTCAGCACCTCTCCTCTCAGGGACTTGGCTGCTTCAGTAAAGAGTGATGCACCTGACAAGACAAGAGTCACATCATCACACAGCGTTACATACAGAAGGTGGGTCATGGGTGGGTACGAGGAGTAGGTGGTGGAGGAAAATTTGAGATATTTCTGCCATTTTTTCTAACTTAATTTCTGCCTCTAAGCATCCTCCACGTCCAAGGATCTCAAGGGTAACCCATATTTCAGCTCTGATATAGCTTACCCCCCTTTGACATAGAGATCCACTAACAAAAACACTTTCCTGCTTCAGACCCTAACCCTCAGATTGAATCACGACGCTCCATCACTCACCTGAACAGATCCAAGACCATCCAGAAGGAAAAAAAAGTGGAGCCTAGCTAATCTCTTGCCTGATCACTGTCCACTTAACCCTGCGGGACACCACAGCGGCCAATCAAACACTTGCAATCACACATTTCACGTTTCTGCTCGACTCTGCACCTGCCTGTTTTTGGGTTGGATGTGTGTGTTTTCTCGAACTGTTGTATACTGTTTATCAAAATAAAGAAGGCAGCTGTCTGGACTGAGTTTGCCCAAGACGAGTTTGGTGAGAGGACGTTTTCTGTCATGACGCTGATAGCAAAGATGCTACTTACTGATGGCTGTTTGCTTGTTGACAAATGTTACATTTTGTATAAAATAAAAGTGAAGAAATGAACTTTAAAATGATGACATTTGAACATGTTTATTGGGGGATATTCAGATTGATCACAAAGTCACCTGGAAAGAACAGCTTGGTTTTGTCTGTGCTACATCGTTTGTCATTTTAAGAGAAATAAGGACTTTTTTTAATAAGCTTAACCATCTCTAGAAGCTTTTCAATACTTTTTGCCTGTTTCTACATTTTGTCTTCCCTTCACCTTATATGTGATGTCTGATATCTAGTTAGTTAGATATCCACCACACACATGCTCTCATATCTTCTTCATATACATGTATTTTCTGTGTGAAATAAATAAATAAATATCCTGCACTGCTTGCCATATTATTGTGAACAATTGAGGTAGGAGCACCCTCTGCTGGAGAATCATGTAACGAAACCTTTTCATATCAGTGTGAAGAAGTTGATCTATGTGCTGTGAGCAAATATAAAGACCTGTAAATCTGTCTAGTTCTAAAAATGACATGAAGTGTTTCTCTTTATTGGATTTCTTTTTAGACAGAAATTAAAATAATCCAGTGCACCAGTGATTATTAATCTCGGTTTATTGACAATTCTTTTAGCCTTAACTTTAGTTGTAGATTTGATTTGAGCTCCTTGATAAACAGGAAGTGATGTATGTACCTGCATCTGTCTGGAACAGCCCCAGCACTCGGTCGGGCTTGTGGCCTGCTAGCTCAGGGTGAGGCGACTCCTGGAGGAATGATGTCACTTCTTTAGGGGTGGACAGCAGCACAGGAGAAGCTCGACTGCTCCTGGGGGAAAGAACCGACACATACACAGATGTAAACAGACTGTTTACACTACATGAAGGAACTTCTGCTTAAATTAAACCAGACCGATGATAAACTGTATCTCTGAAGCACTACGAGACAGGAAACAAGAAATCTGGTAAAGCTAAATAAGTAACTAGGGATAAGCAATGACCCACACTGACAATGTATTTGTGAAAAACCCCTGAGACTGATTTATAAACCATTCTGCTGTTTATGTTTATGTCCGGACTCAGACTGAGCTTGTTTCCTGTGTGAGTTTATTTGTAGTCGTGGAGATAAACCGTGGCTTATTCGGCTCTAATGGATCAAATAAATAGAAGTGGAAAGAAGCAGCCTCTACTAGTGATCTGTCATCTGATTGATTATCTTATTTTCTGTGCATCATTCTGATACATTGTATATAATGTTCGGTCTGCAGCTGTTTTTGTAATTAGGAACTGTGAGGCTGCATGATTTGTGCCTTTGATTTCACAACTAAGAGGATATGAATTACATGTCAAAAACACTGGATACTACATTTCCCATGATGCAATTTATTGGCTCCCTTTTTCTTGTAGAGTCCCACATAATGAGGAACACTAACTGCTCGGATTGATTTAGCATCTTTAAAGGATGAAAGGACAGAAACACCCAATGTGTTACTTTTCCTTTTAACCCTGATGATGTCACTATGACATCATCAGGGTTATTTATTTACCTCCGAAATCACAGAAAGCAATAAAAGAAGGTTTTACCAAGTCGAGTAGTTTTCCCAATGCTGAGTAAATTAAAGTGGATGTGTCAAATGGCACTTTGATTTCTTAGCTTTAGCGGTTAGCATATTAGCATATTTACCTGTAATTCTGTTTGTTTGTGATTTTTATTTTATATCAACTTAGAAAAAAAGGAATAAGAAGAAGGAAGTTGATTCAAAGAAAGAGTGTCTCACAGCATGATGGAGCGATGCAGCGCCTCAGTACCCAGCATGCCTCTGTACTGCTGGGCTGACTCCCGGGGGCGGAGCAACAGGACGCTGGGGAATGCTGTGATTGGCCGGAACGGGATCGGGGGGGAGCCGCCCGTCTGAGCGGCACAGAGGTCAGTCCACTCGCCGCAGTCGACCGCACACATCTGGACCTCGGAGCCTGAAGTGATCGATTAATAAAGGAAAACATCAGGATCGAATCTGATAATCTTATAAGAATGTTATCATCAAAAACATAAGAAATGTCAGATACTAAAAAACCAAAGTCATGCTGTTTACCTTCAAGTCTCTCTGCAACTTCAATATACGAGCTGAGAAAAGCCATAGCAACAGCATCCCCTGGTGGTGAAAACAGAAACTGCAGTTCATTCAATGTCATCTGTTTATATTTTCTGCTTGGTTGTTGTGATCAGGAGTTGTGAGTGTTACATCTGAGGTAGAAGAGCACCACAGTGAGGCTGCTCTGAGCGACTGCAGCGTGGAAGTTTTCAGAGGTCAGCTGGGTGATTGAGTCCATGTCCAGCAGGTCGCCTCGGTTTTCATACAGAGACGCTGCTACTTCATCGTCCAGTTCGCCTGAGGAGACAGAAACACAGATTTACTCTCATGCCGGGACTCCTTTGCTTTTTCCTTTCAGTCACCGTTTGATTTCTGTTTTTTTTTTTTCTTACCAACATGTGAATCCTCCTCCACCGCCTCGTCCTCGTCCTCCTCTCCTTCCTCCTCGTTTGTGAAGAGATCTAACACCTCGTTAAAGTCGTGCAAGGTCAAATATTTCACGTCTGAACTCTTAAAACACAAACACACAGACAGAAGGTAAAACACCTGTGGGAAAACAGCTGGCTGTATTCTGAACATGTGCAGGAGGCGTTAATACCTTCACAGGCAACCTGTAAGCAGCGTTATAATCATCTGAGGTCTTCACTGCAGGACTCTGTCTGATGATGACACACACACACACACACACACACACACACACACACACACACACACACACACACACACACACACACACACACACACACACACACACACACACACACACACACACACACACACACACACACACACACACACACACACACACACACACACACACACAGCAGAAAAAAGGGTAAAAAGTCGATCAATACATTCTAACAGTATCAAAAGAAACGCTTCAGCATGAAAACAGGATGTTACTTCTTGTGTAAAATCATCCAACATGTACCTGTGTACCAGGACCAGCAGGGCGAGGCCCCGCAGCCTCCAGGCCAAGGTGACAGCCGTCTCCCGGTCCAGGTGCTCGGTGGCAGGACGAGCGAACAAGAAGACCTGGGGGGTCTGCTGGTAGGGGAACACTGGGGGCTGGACTGAGGAGGGGTCTTCATAAACTTCTGACTGAGAGTGGAGAGACATATATCCAGTTATTTTATCGTATTTTCTCTGCCGTGGAAGCAGAAACAATCACTTCTTTTACTCTTCACTTCTTCACTTTTATCTTAATTGTTTCGTTTTGTTTAATTTCTCGTGAGTAAAGAGACATTCTAATGACAAAGGAAAAAAAATTATAACTACAAGACATGCAACTGGTGCCAAAAATCCACAAGATTATTCCACTCTGAGTCCTCTTTACTGACCACTAGTGGAGCCTCCATGAGCTGCAGGAAGGAGTGCAGGCTGAGGGTGGAGAGGGGTTTCCTCATGCGGGTTAAAGGACAGCGCTCTGAGGTCATCGGGCTCCTGTAGCTGCTGTGAAGCCTGCAGTGGAGGAACCACACCTGGGAGGAGTGAGACAGCTCGTCCACACTGAGAGACAGACGGAGGAGAAAGAGTTAGACACAGGACGATGGCTGTGAGAATGTGATTCGTGTAGAAGGAAAGACCTACCCCAGGTGCTTCAGAACCGGGCCTCCTGTGATGAGGATGAACTGGTATTTGGATCCGTACACATATGCCGTCTCCATCATGGATCTGTGCTCTGAAGTGACCCAATCAGCACAATGAAGTCAGTTTGATCAGTTTAATCCAACAATGGTTTTGTGTTGTCTTCAGGAATCTTAAACAGGAAAATCCATCAGACACTTTTATCAGAATCACCAACATACGACCACTTAGTTTGTGTGTGTGTGTGTGTGTGTGTGTGTGTGTGTGTGTGTGTGTGGGTGTGGGTGTGTGCGTCTTTACCTTGTGTTCCCAAACTGCGAACATAACCCAGCACGAGATCCTTCTTCCCTCTGGCTGCCTTCTCCATGGCCAGCAGGTCAGCGTCTGTGTGGACGTACTTCACCTCTTCACGCAGGATGGCACTGGAGGTCGACGGGGAGGAGAGAGAGCTCAATTTTAAACACAATGTCAAGTAAATCTTCAGGGATGAAACTGGCACAGAGGAGCGAGACATATCCAGCTTTGGATTCACATATAAAGACGTTAAGTCCTCGATGGTTTCTGTATATTGTCATGATATTTGTGGTAAAAAGCTTGTTGTACTTTTTGCAGAAATACACTTTAAACAGTAGTTTATGATTTTTTTTTTGGGAGGGGAATAATTGCCTTATTTATTTTCTCTAAACTCATTGCAATGAAAACTTAACACCATTTTTGAATTGTAAAGCTTAAAAAATACACCTTGTCTGAGGCTCTGAAGAACATTAAAGATAGAGGTTGGAGCCTCTCACAGCTGCTGTTTACTTACAACAGGACTTCAGAGACGATGGAGTTGACATCAAACACGGTGTCCAAATCAAAACCCAGGAACTCCTTTCCACCCCTGACGAAGAGAAACGGGCGTCGTTACTACAAAAAAGGTTGTTCGTTATTAATGTGAGTTATAGAGTCCAGATTATCTTTTTAAGTCTACACTTCCTACCTGAAGAGAAAAGCTGTGTGCAGCGCCCTCTCGTCTGTGCAGTGTGTGTGAACCAGCTCTTTATTGCAGTTGACCTAAGCAGAATAAACAAACTTCAACCGCTCATATTCTAATATCCATTTCTGAAAGTAGTAAATATGTGAGATTGAAGGTGGAGCATACAGCTGTGTGTGACGACTGTGGTTACCTTGCCAACCAACACCCCATAATCCTGCAGAGCCTCAACAGACTTCTCCAGCTCCACCAAAAAGAGGGACACTGTTGGAGAAACTGAAGACAAACACTCATCATCCTCATCTGTATCAATATAAAGTTTACATAGATGGATAAGTGGATGATCGTCTCTTATGTGAGGTCTACCTTGATGCTCAAAATAGATAAACATCATCTTCCCTGAATGCAACTTCTCGTAGAAGTCTGCTGCAGTGTACTCCATCAGATCTGACGTGTTGGCCTTCTCCGTGCATCCTCCTGACCTCATCCACAGCAGGAACACGGACAAACACATCCACACACACATGATCTCTGTGGGGAAGAAGGTCATTGTAATAATGTAAGATTAACTTTTCAATGGGAGATCCCCATAAAACAAAGTAATGGTAAGAAAAGACTAAAAAGTACATTCAGTTATTATCAAACGACCTGCCCTATCTTCATAAAACATATCTGACTGTTAAATGTTAAATATGAAGTGACAGGAGCATGCACATTAAAGAAGACTGTAAGGTTACCTGAGACAGTCGAGGTGGGGTTAAGAGTTCAACTTTACTCTTCACAAATGACAAAAATGCTAATAACCACAGATAATAATTCACATATCGTTTTAACAAAATATAAAGAGCAGCAGCTTTTCCTAGTCGAGGAAAGAATGGCGCATTTTTATTACTTATGAGGAATGTAAGGGACGCTAGCTAGCTTTTAGCTAAGCATGTTAGCAACCGACCGGATAGATGAGCACTGCTTTAAATGGCTAGCTAAAGTTAGCGCCTGTACATTTATATGAGTCATGTCAACGTATGTATATGATGATGCAACGAAGGGAAGTAGACTAATACGTTTACAATGTTTTTAACTATACAACTTGAAATAGTTAAAGTGTTTTTAAAGAGTGGCGTTCCAGTTTTCGTTAAAGTGTTAAGTTGCTATATGTAGGATAGCACTTCCTAGTTTTCTTTCAGAATAAAAGCCTTCGTTTGTAAACGTTTGGCAAAGTTTTCAGTAGTTTCGAGTGATAGACACTCTGTGAAGCTATACAAATTTAACTGATAATAGTATTATCTCTTTTGCTTTGAATTCACCAAAAAAAAAAAAAAAAAAAAAAAAAAAAGCTTAAGAATTAGCCATGGTATTAGCATTATTTTCTCCAGTTTTATTTTGAAGGCGACACAATTCGCCGGAATCGTTGGCTACCGCTCTTCAACTTGACGTGAAATGTCCGCGACTTGTTTTGATGCCTGTGAAGAGACGCCCACGTGCCTTTGGGCCAATAAAATGAGGGTACGGTTTCGACTTGAACAAATGGAGCGCAGAGAGGGCGGGCTCTATCGCAGCTGACATCATTGTGGACCAATAGAAAGAAAAAAACAGTGGAGGTTGGGTGGCAGAATTAGCCAATAACGCGGCACGTCGGAAAAGTGGGCAGGAGGAGGTCTCACTTAGGAGGTTTAGCTCGGAAACTGTCAAGCGTCTGTGGCTCTGGAGCCCGCTGCTCCAAAAGCAAATGAATCTAGTGTTGAGCCAAGATGGCGGCCTGTTAAGAATTAGTTTCCGCTTTCATTGAGAACAAGGGGGCGGGTCTAAAACTGCATCACAGCTGATCTGGAGGTTTTCCCCCCCTTAAGTTGTTTTTTGCAGAGAGGAGCTTTGCAGAGATCTAGATGGGGACCTATCTCTTTTGTTTTCTGTTTCAGTCTTGTTGTTTTTTCTCCTGGCGCTTCTTAAAAAACAAAACCCCAGACCTTATCTCGGATTTTTAACCACAACGCAGTTTCATCATGCCACTTCTTTACAGAATAAACTGCCTTTATGGCACATAATACCCGAATACCCTCGTCTTCTTGTCAGCCACGGGGAATTTAGTCCAGGTCTGACCCAGTTTTAGTGTTTTTATCCCTTTACAGCCTCCAATGTGCTAAGTGCGAGCCGCCAGTGGAGATGTTTCCGGCAGGAGAGGAGGTTAATTCCCATTTGTTTACCCCACTGAAGGAGTCTCATGGAGCTGCAATCTCCCCAACACTGGAGCTCAGTCTAACTATCATCTACACCGTCCTCTACTCTTTCCTGTTTGTTTTCGTCTACCTGCAGCTCTGGCTCATTTTGCACTACGGACACAAGCGCTTCAGCTACCAGAGTGTGTTTCTGTTTCTGTGTCTGCTGTGGGCAGCACTGAGGACGACCCTCTTCTCTTTCTACTTTAAAAATGTGGTGCAGGCCAACCAGCTGCAGCCCCTGGCCTACTGGCTGCTCTACTGCTGCCCTGTTTGCCTTCAGTTCTTCACATTATGCCTGCTCAACCTTTACTTCACACAGGTAAGATCTGCACTATCTGTATGTGTCTGTGGATTCGAGATAAAGAGAGAGTGTGTGTGTGTGTGTGTGTGTGTGTGTGTGTGTGTGTGTGTGTGTGTGTGTGTGTGTGTGTGTGTGTGTGTGTGTGTGTGTGTGTGTGTGTGTGTGTGTGTGTGTGTGAGCGCGCACACACAGGGTTTGTGTGTGTGACCTGGTTTCACAAAACTGCTGACTCTGCACATTTCTATTTAACTTCCATACCAGTGAAAAGTATTTAATTCAACTATATTTTCTGGAATCTCCTTTCTCTTCATACAATGTCCTTAATTCCTTTCCCCATCATCCCCCCCACTGCCCTTTGGTCAAAAGCTCTGCTAGGATGATAACCCAATTCTAGTTAAAGTGTACCCACTCAATCCAAAAATAAACATTTTTACAAACATCTTGTTGCAATGCAATCCCAGTAAACAAGCATCAGATAATCACCAGTTATTCAAAAAACTACAGCTCCCAAAAGGCTTTTAAAGGGCCCATGGCATAGCCTGCTCAGTTATTTATAATAATAGGGTAACATGTTGATTTATATTAATAATAAATATCAATCTGGTAGCTGGTTAGGAGTTTAAAATATATTGAGAAAAGGATATTCTACTTATATCTTTATAATTCTGAAGATATTTTGATTTTCATTGTTTTCGTCTTTATTAAATTAGATTTATTTTTAATATCATATTCATTATCATAATATAATATATTATTATTTTTTAATATCTTTGTTTTGGGCCTTTTGTTTGAGAAGCTTCATGAAGACCTTAAGCTGATTTCTTTTTAAACACATTTGTCATAACACTTTCAGGCAAATATTTTAACAGCCTGAACTTAAATTAAGCTAGCTCTTAGCTGCAACTAGCCAATAGGCTTAGATGATAAGGATTATCATTGTTTTTTGCAAAGTAAGGATAAGGTCACTGTGTGAAAGTAGTCTTGTTATCTGAAAATACCACATGATTGTAAAGGAATAGTGCCACATTGTGTCAACTGGCAGGAAGAGTGAGATAGCAGCAGCTATTCCAGGAAGTTGCACCTAGCTAAGAAACAGTCCCTCACATGACCTCCCTTAACGATACAGCTTCATTTTTTTTACAGTCTTGATGTTTGTAAGAAAGAGATTAGAGACAACATGTTAACTCATTGTTAAAACTTATTAGCTAGGAAAGCTGTTGTCCCAGTTTTCAGACTTTATGCTAAGCTAAGCATCTCCTGGCTTGGCCAGGAGATGCTAATTACCTGTTTAGGTTAGTCAGTATTGTGGGTGAAAATGTGTAAAAAGATATTAGAATCAACATGTAAATTCGTTGTTAAACTAAGATTAAGCTAGGCTAGTTTACCCCTGTTTTAAGTCTTTATGCTAAGCTAAGCTAACAGCTTTAGTTTAATATGTGTCAAACAGACAGTCATTGGTATCAATCTTCTTCATTAACCCCCGCAAAGAAGGCTGTGATGCTATTTTTCCTTAAATGTTTTGTTTCACATTTAGCTAGTATTTTGGGTGAACGATGTGGAGCAAAGTAACTTTAAATCCTTGTTTTTGTTTGAACTGCTTCAGTAGGAGCGGTTTTTACCGTCCTGCAGCTATCATACAGATTAAATCTCTGGGTGGTCTGATATAAACCACTGGTTTTGGGTTGCTGTTAGCTTGAACGCTACGCTAATGTAGCTAGCTAATATCCATTGGTGAGAAATGTTGGCTGATGTTTTTCATTCACAGGAGCAAATGTTTCCGTCAGCATCGTATTCTCATCAACTGTGCGTTGATGGTAGAAGGACGCAGCTGGTCGGTCACAGTTGTTTAACACCTGCCCACTCAGTCAAAGCCCTGTTTGTTCAGTCTCAGAGAAAAACAAAACACCTACACACTTCAGAGTTTCAGTTGGTCGCATCATCACACCGGTTCAGTCACTGCTTGAAAGGAGAAAAACATTATGTATCTCAATCACATGTGAGAGTGTGAAGCTCGTTCAACAGGCCGAGTGAAGATTAGGTAATGAAACCAGCTGTGTCATATGACTGCTGGATAAACATTTACCCCCATTAGCTGCTCAATTAAAGCATAAACAGTTGACTCCCTTTAAATAAATGTCTTTGATTGTTGGGATACTTAGAGTATTAGCAATAAAACTGACATTACATATATGGTGGCATCAGCAGTCACATGCATCTCCACTGTCACTAAAGGGTTAAAGAAGTATTTCCATAGATGTAGGGGAAACCTTGTGACTGACCTGCTCATTGAACACATTTTTCCCTGTTTGTGGTTTCATGTCAGACCTGAGATATCTATCAGTCTAGGCCTGTGAAGGCTGTTTCGTCATGAGCCGAGGATCCAGCCGAAGATTTCTGCCTTTTAATAAGGCAGTTTTTTCTTACCACTGTAACTTTTGCTGCTTTGCTAAAGTGCTCATGATGGATAGGCCGGGTCTTTGTAACATAACAATGAGTAAGGTCTTTTACCTGCTTTTTGTAACATAACAATGAGTAAGGTCTTTTACCTGCTTTCTGTAAAGTGTCTCGAGATAACACTTGCTATGAGTTGACGCTGTACAAATAAAAATTGATTGAAAAAATTTAATTGAATAATTTTTCTATAGTCATAAACTCAGAGTATTAAGATGTGTATATTACGACTACCGCACACATTTGGCCTTAAGAAACTGAAACTACAGAGCCATCTAGACTGCTTAAACACAAGCAGAGTCAGTTAACAAATTGGTAGCTCAGTATGATTAATAATTTGTTCAGCCCATGTTCCAACAGCGATCCTGCATTAGTGCCTCACTGCCTCTTAAATGTTGAACTCTCTGATCGTCATAAACGCTGATATAACATCATGCCACCATGACACGCTCTGCGCCTGACAGCCATGTGTGGAAATAGTTGAGTGTAGTGTTTTTTTTCTGATGAGTCAGGCATGTTTCATGATGACCCATGATTTACTTCCCCTTTTTGAAATTGAGTTCCTTATGGTTGAAGAAAATGATCATGGGAATTAGTATATAAAACGATTGGAAGAAATAGACCAATTCAGCAACATTTGACTTATATTTATGGGGAACACATGCACACATACTGTATATATTACACATAAAGTATGCAGTGTGACAGTGTTTTGGCTGCTTGCTACATTTCTCGGTTACAAATTACCTCCCCCTGCCCTACATTCTTCCACAAAAGGCCAAGTGTCTGCGTTTTGAACCCGCTGCTGTTGACAATGTTGAGCAACTCTCGAGAGCTTGGTCACCATGGCAGCTCTTGTTTAATATCACTTATCATTATTAATCCCAGTCTGACAGATAAGAGAAGTGTTCTGTCAGCCTGTTTGTCTGTACGTCGACATGTTTCACAAATCAAAACATCATTCAGGGAAGTCAATGAACTTGATCGGTTGAGGCCAGCGTCCCAGCTTCTGCACACATACATTGGACTTGTTTACTCTTGTTTGATTTTTCATCTTTAGCTTATCACCTATAGCCACACTAAACTGTATATTTGCATTAAGGTGTAACTGTCACTACTACATCGTTTGCATAGTAAAATATTAGCTTCTGGCTAGTTTGCCCTTCTTATCTACACTTTGAAGACATTATAAAAGCACACAACATTAAACTAGTAGAAATGTTACAATCCTGGCTCATCAATGGCGTAAAGCCTGATTTATACAAATCTATATTCTGCAGCATTAGCCGTAGATTGACATCAAGCAGGAAAACAAAATCAGGATTTTAGCGCAAAAAGAAGATATGCCTGGCTGCACAATTGCTCGAATGCCACAAAAAGTTTTTATTTGCTTTCAACGCTCTCGACCAGAGGTCAGTCTATTCAGGTGACTCCAACGGGATAGACCTTAAGCTGTGCAGCACCTCGTTTAGCAGGATTGCTTTATAACATTAAGAGGATTTGGACATACATTTGTCTGGCATGTTATTCCCTTAGATTTACCCAAACATCTTTTCTATTCAAGCTTCATTGAATCGCCCCAACGAGGTGCTTAATCAGGTTTAGTGTGATATCAACAGTGATGCTGTGTATTACTCTAACCTGTTCCCGATTGCCCCCTTTGTAACAAAGCTCTACTTCAGTACAATCAGCATATCAAACTGTACAGAGTCACATTTTGAATACATTAATCTAGGACGTTGGCCTCGACTGATGTGGTTCACTCACTTCCTGGAATGACTTTTTTTTTTCTTTTAATGATGATTTGAAAAGGACACAGATGCATTCATAACCCTTATTTTCTCTTTGCGCTCGTCTGTGATCACATATTTACACACACACACATTTTTAGATAACGTTTGCTTAAATTTGCATGATTAATAATATTCTACTTTCAGCAGTAATTCAACCCCAAACAACTGATTTGCAGAATCATCTGCACATGGGTGGTTTGACTTTTCCTGTTTGATAACTTCTACACTTAGAGTGGAAAATTGTACCAATAATGGGATTTTCAGATCAAACTTCATTGAGTTCTTAAAATCCCTTAATTGCTCACTAATCAACCATTGTTAAGCCTGTAAGCTCATTTGAGCGTGTACAGTAAATAAGAAGATGCTTTGCCCTGGATTATGAACAAGTCATTAAAATGTGTTTTTATATAAATAACAGATCTTGTGTGGTGATTATATATTTTTTTGTTTTCAGGTGATGTTTAAGGCTAAAGCCAAGTATTCCCCAGAGCTCACCAAATACAAGTAAGGCCCTCCTACATCAACGCTTTTATATATTTTAAGTTAAATGTGTCTGTCATCCTTCTCCTTCCCATGCACATTTTATTTTTTGTTCATTTCTACTTTCAGCACCATGAATTAGAATGTGATTTTCATCTAATATATACTTTTTTTTGGCCGCCCTCTTACTATCTGTGTGTCGCTCTCTCTCTCCTCCAGGATTCCTCTGCGTTTGTTCTTCTTGTGTCTCGGCATATTTTTCCTGGTGGTGAATTTAACGTGTGCGTTGTTAGTGCAAGGAGCTCTGGAGCGCTCTGAATCACCGAGGTAAACAAAGAAAACATGAAAACCTCCCTAAGTGCCCGTGTGTGTGAGAGTGTCTTTGTGTTGATCACCTTTCTGTCTGCAGTGACGGGGGGGTCAGACATGCAGTCCTGGCCCGGGTCTTGATCAACGACAGTCTCTTTGTCCTGTGTGCCGTGTCTCTGGCTTTCTGCATCTTCAAGATCGCCAAGATGTCCTCGGCAAATGTGTACCTAGAATCAAAGGTATGCAAATGCTCGTCTCGCTAATTTGTATTAAACTCAGGTAAAGTATCTGTACTAGTGTCTCGTCAATATCCCCGCATGCATTCACATTGCACAACATTTTTTGCGCTAGTGACGATTATATTCAAACTAAACACGTCGCTACAGACGATTATGGAGCGCAGACATGCACAGAATGCTACATTTACATTGCTCGCTCATAGTGTGACATTTTGGTGCAGGACAGGCCTCAGTCATTTCGGTTGATGAAACTGTGGCCCATATCTGACATTCAATGAGAGGCCAGCAGCCGACTGATACATGAGCGTGAGCTTGTAATAAGCAGTAACTCTCGCCCCCCTCCTCAGGGTACATCAGTGTGCCAAGCAACCGCTATTGGAGCCATGGTGATCCTACTCTACACATCCAGAGCCTGTTACAACCTGGTAGTGGTGGCCATGTCCCCACAAGACAGACCCAGCACCTTCAACTACGGCTGGTACAGCGTCTCGGATCAGGTACTGCAAGTGTGTTCGGTTATGAAGAGAAAAAAAGCTTTCATCTAGTCAGGAACCCGGTGTGGACAATCCATCTTATAGGAGATTTGGGGAGGCAATGCTTAGTGGGGTAAAGGGCTTTGTTTGCCTATAAATAACCGCGGGTGTGTGTGTGTGTGTGTCTGGGTGGGTGGCTCTCTGTGTGTGTGTGTGTGTGTGTGTGTCTGGGTGGGTGACTCTGTGTGTGTGTGTGTCCTGACCTACATCAGGGCTCTAAAGGGCTCCATCCTGTTTGTTTGTTTGTGTGTGTGTGTTTGACATGATACACACCCTCAGACATCCACATAATCTGACATTACAAATGATTCCTTTAATCTGTCCGTACACCAGATGTCAGCCCAACCATCTCAACCTTTTTTTTTATCCTATCCATGAGCATTGATGTACAGAGGTGTATACAGCAACATTACTGCACAACACATACACTATTACATCTCTGCATGATTAAAAAGTGAATAATTTATTGTACTTCAAGATGGTAGTTATCCTCATCTTAAATAACCCTGCATCCCTGGCTAGAATAAAACACAAAAATGTTCCTGAGGTAATCAATTTACCTAAAGCTAGTGCACTGAACCCACAACACTGTCAGAGCAGAATTAGCTTAACCACCATGTCTGAAAGTGGATAATGGGAAGGAGAAAGGCCAGACCATTGATGGCTGATTTACAGGAACAGTTTAACATTTCAGTAAATTCACTTTCTTATAGAGTCAGTTTAGAGGATTGATTAAAGTCTTATGTAACTCTTGTCAGACGGCATGAAGGTCTGTCCTTCTAGTGAGACAAACAGCGTCAAAAGAATAAAAAAAAAAAAAATATATATATATATATATATATATATATATATATATCAATGAAATATACAAACAAACAAGACAGAATGAAAAAATATGGACTTTTTGCTAGCTACACTTCTACACTCACAATTTGAAAAAGCAGCTTTAAAAAATATGATCTTGATTTTCTGTTGGTTGTGATGTTCTGTGCAGTTTTTCCTCTAATTGGGGTGCTACTACCCCTAGTGGCACTACAGGGAATTGCAGGAGCAACTTGTGATTATTTTTTTTATTTTTTATTTTTTACAAATCGAACATAATTTTTCTATAATTCTACTTTAAAGTGTTTTAAAAATGGTTAGTGTGTTGCTCTGTTTGTGAAAATAGTTTTAAAATCGAATGACAAATCCAGGGAATGATTTGGTCATTGAAATGGAGGAGCGATACACAAACAAAAACTGAAACTACAGAATAATACGGTGGCTGGGAAGTGCAAAGCAAAATTACAAAGTGTAAAATTTGAGACAATTTTACATTTTGAAAATATTTTTTTACATTTCATAAAACAAAATTACAAAACCAAAAAACTTTTACAGAGGAAAAAACACATTTATATTTTATAAAACACATTTTTACGAGGTAAAAGTGTTTTGGTTTTGTAATTTTGTTTTATGAAATGTAAAAATGTTTTTGAAAATGTAAATTTGTCTCAAATTTTGCAAAAGTGTTTCACACTTTGTAATTTTGCTTTGCACTTCCCAGCCACTGTAGAATAATGATGAATGTAAGAAATGCCTGCTTGAATGCTTTTTTTTAAACCCTCCCAAGGACTGTACCTATTCACTTTAGCAATTAGCCAACTATTGATCCAAATCAGTGCCTCATCAAGTGAAAAGGTTGTTTTTGTAAATTGGATGACGACTTGGCACACATACACCCCCTGCTGTGTGTGTTACAGGCTGATGTGCAGGAGGTCAGCGGTGAAGCCTACATCGCGTTCGGGATCATTCTCTTCTTCTGGGAGCTGCTTCCTACCAGCCTGGTGGTGGTTTTCTTCAGAGTGCAGAGACCAAACCAAAACCTGGTAGGCAAAAAATGCTATCAGTAATCGCTCAGATTGGACTGTAATCTTTTCTGAGCTGTAAACTTTAAAAACACATCTTTATCTGTCAGGCTCCTGGAGGGATGATCAACAGCCACAGCTTCAGCTCCAGAGCATATTTCTTTGACAATCCTCGACGGTACGATAGTGATGACGACCTGTCCCGAGGGATCAATAGTAGGAGTGATCGAGCCAGGTGGGCACACACACATAAGCACGGACACATTGAAAAATCAATGGCCTGTGATTGATCTTTCTTTTTCCCTTTATTGTCTCACAGCCTCCTCTCAACAACTCCCCAACTTGGTACGTCGAGTTGGTACGGTTCCATCCAGCGCAATGGGAACCTGACAGCTGGCTTAACAACCGGGCAGCAGCCCTCTTCCTCCACGGCCCCCCTCCTCTTTGCCTATGGAAACATCCAGACTCATCCTCATCACCACCACAACTATTACTCCACCCCGCAGAACAACAACGTCCACCATCATCATCATCACAGTAACTTCTACTCCACGCCTCAGAATTATTACTGCGGCTCACAAACCTATTTCTGCACCCCGCAAAATTAAGCAGAATCCATTGATGGGTTAAGAAAGACTAATAACTAACAACATCCTGCTTCCCCAGATACATTAAAGCAGGTGTTTGAGTGATATTACAAGGATGTTCCTGGGCCCAGATTGAGCTAAGGTGGTGACATCAGCAACCAGGCAGTTGTTGATTTGTTTAACCACTCTTGTAGGACATCCTCATCTTTAAACGGGGTGTTTGGACCAGAATGAAAGCAAGCGCAGGCTATGGAGAAGCGTTTTTAGCATAGATAGCTAATACAGCTAAAAGTGCAATTTTTTTGTTTCCAATCAGCAGTTATAATTTCTGAAACTGCAACCATGACCAGATAATCATTTGCTCTTAATGTATTTTCCGCCATTCCTTTTAAATTCAATCAAAACGTGTTTTTGTGGAGTATAAAATACTGCTTAGACAGGCTAGCCTGTCACCTGAACCTGAAGGCAACAGTTCTGCACATAAATATACACTCAGCTAACTACTATTAAGAGTTTTTAAAAACTTATAGGACTGATTTTAATGAAACAATCGTATTAATTAGGATTCAAATGTAATATAAGCTGGAGAAGAGCAATGATGGAAGCTAAGCTACTAGCTTGATTGTAAGTTCTCAGAAATGCTTTCTAATCATGGAAACCAGTAGGCCTATGCATACAAGGGACAATTTTGGTGTTAAATCTTTGTTTTAGGGTCTGATAACATATGACAGGAATTAGCTGTGGCTAATTTGCCATTGACTGTTGTATCATTGAGAGCTAGCTTACAATAAGCGCTAACAGTTGGCTTAAAATCATTAAACCAACAACTTTGTTGATGAAAAAAAGACATTCAAAAAGCTTAGCAAACCTCCATCCATCACAGAGTATGGTCCTATCTAATCCGTTGCAAAAAAGAATCAAACATTGCTTGTGTATTTTAGTTCCAGTGGAATTGAAACATTTTTACAAATACTGTTAGCATGCTAGCTTTAGACATTAGCCTTCCTCCTGGATTCTGTTGTATCAGTGAGAGCTAGCTTACGCTCAACGCTAACAGTTAGCTTAAAATAGTTAAACCAACAACTATCTCAATATAGAAGAAAAAAAATACATAAAAAAAGCTAACCAAACCTCCATCCATCAACAATGTCTGTTTATTTTAGTTCCACTGGAATTTAAATGTTTTAGCAAGCTAGCTTAAAACATTAGCCTTCCTTCTGGATTCTTCGACAGGTAAAAGAAGCTTTGAGCAAATTTCATAACTATCTGTAATGAAAATACTGGTCAATGTATATGTCAGTATTTACAAATATCCTCAGTATAAGCTACTTACAACTGAAAAAAAGTGAAATCTCTATGTAGCTGCTATATTGATGTTATTGTCCAACTCAATAGCACTAGCTTGGTCACATCAGTCAAATACATTTCTAAACACAATGTTAATGTTTAGGCTTTGACTACATCTCAGCAGAAACAGCTAAGTCATGGTTAGCTTAGGCTACCCCTAGCATGTGAACGATGTGGAATAGACAGTTTCATACACTGTCCTGTAAATGTTGGGGTTTAAAGAACATATCATAGATTAATAAGAGATCAAAGTGTAGAATACAATCATCATTGAAGGAGAAATCAGCCTACGGATTGTGCATTAAAAAGGGGGAACTGTTTCTGAAATGTAATGTTTGACCAAAAACCTTTATTGTAATCAGATCTGTTGTGACCTGTGAGGCAACAGTTTGCACTTGGAAGACGTTCACGTTGAGAGAAAAGGCCTTTGGGGGGGATTTTAAAACTCCCTTTTCCTCAATAATCGTCTGAATTCTATATTTGACTATCTTATCCTTTGAGAAAGGAAACATCGACGTGCCATCACATGTTGTCATGACAAATCGTTTCATTCCTTATGGGAAATATTTTTGCACAAGAAATGTTGAATTGATGCGTGTCTTTTTGTGTTGATTCCTAATCCATGTTGAGTCGTTTGTGTGTAATCTTAATTTTGTCTTTGACGTTTTAATATGCTTTTATAAACTTTTTTTTTTTTATCCTTTAACAGATTTTATATTTTGTATCTATTTCCATCTCCTATGGTTAGTCATAAGTTCACACACGTGTTCAGCATCTCATGACAGACTGCAGCAGCGAGCCGTTTTTCACCTCGATGGAACATTTTCATACATCACCAGATTTAAGGAATAAATCAGTGCTACCTTTTTTTGTCAGATTTACGTTCAGCATGATACTTTACCACTCTTCAGCTATCAAGAAATTAAACTGTAAATGACCGTTTAAAAAACAAAGATTATGACTTGAATCAACAAGTTGTGTCATATTTTTGAGAGATCTCAAGAGCTGCAGTGCATGCTTCTGTATCAGCGTGCGAGATCTCTGCGTCACATGTTCTGTCCAGGGTGAGGTTATTTATGTAAAAAATGTCTTTCTGTGGCCTCAAGGCAGAGTTAATTGTGTCATGTTATTGTTTTACTCGTGGCCATACTGAATGTAACCTATCGTGTGACAGATCACTAACGCTGTATGAGAGAAAAGCACTACCATATTGAAATAAAGGCCTACTGCACTGTTCCTGTTCAAATCTGCACAGTGAATAACAACACACAGATGAACTCCTGCAGCTGGTCATGAGGCGGAATTCTCCGGCAAACAAGTTGATGAAGGACATCCGAGTTAAGTGAAGACAGCAGCTGGTGGACTCTGCGAAACATGCATTCTTTTTCATCATTGCGACTACTGGGAGACTATTACCTACAGTGGCCCAAAAGGGACAAAATTAACGCAATAACTGCATAGTGATTGACGCTTTGATGCTGACAGCCCTCATGTCGACACAATTTGGTGGGTGGGATTTGGTATAGTCCACATTTTATTTATTGGCTCAAGCTAGCTGTACAACAACAAAGAAACAAAGATGGCCTCATTTATTCTGCGTTCAGACAAACAGCATTAAGGGAGTTCTTAGTGAAATATCTGCAGCAGGATAGATATTTGACAAATGTCACTGCACTTTCCAGGAAGTGAAAGTTTGCAAAGAAAACAATAAGAAATTAAAACCGCAAGCGGTGATGAAGGGCCCTTGCACCCCTGTGCATGTCGGGGTGTGTTGCGACCGCGGGAGTGCAGCAGCAGCGGAACGTGGCTAAGCAGCAGGCCGTGCAGTCCGATTTGTGTAAAAGTCGTACTATGGTATGCTGAAATAGGCACCGAGAAAGTATGTATGATGTAGTACTTAGTCCTTGCATTTGGGGGCGCTATGGTTAAAGTTGAATATTGTTATGTCAATGTGTTTAGAGTATTGTAATTTCAAGAAGATCAGACAAAGTATGTAAGAGTTACAGCCACTTCCTGTTTGATGGCGATGTGATTTGTGGACTTCCTGTTGGTTTTGTCATGTTGGAAATGCATAGTAAAATTCAGAATTGTAGGTTCAACGTGCTGCAGGGGCTGAATGTTTGAAATATTGTAGGGGGCGCCACTGAGCCATTAAGCCATGCCCACTCACTTAAACGGTATAAGATGTTTGACTTTACTACCAGGATTACATGTATGAAGTTTCAGGACAGTACGACTATGTTAAGCCCGTGAAAAAACTACTTCCTGTTTGATGGCAAGCGACGCGTCTGTATGGCGACAGCGTTGGACGTAGGCATTTGAGCTTGAAAGTGTTGTATGGCAATACAATACCGTGTAGCAATGGCTAATGCTAATTGAGAAGCAGTAACTTCCTGTTGTCAACAGGTGGCACTGTAACTAATGAAGAAATGTCAATCATGGATGTGTTCAGGGCAGGCTCTGTATCATGCATGAGAAATCATAATATGACTGAACATGATATAAGCATTTACTTTTTTGGCAAGTTCCCAAAACGCTCAAAAAACTTCAAACACACGCCACGGCCACGCCCTTTGACAAAATAACGTGCAGCGCACAACGAGATATGTTGAGCCTGTCTAGAACGCACTGACACTGAGTTTGCGCCGATCAGATGAGCGCCCTCGGACGAGTGCGTTCAAATAGGAAGGCTGAAATCAGCGATTTTGGGCCATTATCGTGAAATTCAAGTTTAATTTGTGGACTTCCTGTCTTCCTGTTTTTGAAACGCTGAAAGAGCATTTTTAGTCCATCCTGACGAGCTTAATATGCGTACCAATTTTCTTGAGTGTACGTGAAAAAACCCTTTATGGGGAGGCCATTTTGAAAATTTCAAGGGGGCGCCACTGAGCCATTTTGCAAACTCCGTTTACGAAACCACCAAATTATCAAATTTTTCACGAGACCTGATGGCCGTGGAAAGTTTGGTGAGTTTTCGGGCACGTTCAGGCCCTCAAAAGTTGCCGCAAAGTGGCGGATGAAAAATAAGGAGAATAATAAAAATTTAAGCACGGTTCGTGCTCGGGCCCTAATGAAACAGTCCACTCCTTCTCTTCTTCGTTGTGTCTCACAAATAAAAGACAGTGTTTGTTTGTCAAGATGTCAATGATGCACTTTTTTCAGTCTTCTATGCCAACTTGTATCAGATTCTATTTTCCAAATCCATCATTGAAACATCCTTGGTGAAGATCCAGATCCAGTTTATCCTCCATAATGAGCTTTCCAACTTTACAGCAGTCGTCCCAGTTTTTTTGCATGTCTTCCTCTATCAAAATCCCTTGTTTCATGTTTTTACTGCTTGCCTGTTTCCAACCTTTGCCTGTCTCAACAACCATTTTGCATTAAGCAAATCCACTTTGTGTATAAGTAACACTTTATGATCAAACTCGTATGTTTTCTTAGACCAGCAGTCTTCTGATTAACGCTGGAGGATGATCGATAGAAAAAATAGTAGGGACAGACTCTTTATTTCAATTTGTGTACCTGCACTTTACCTCAGTGGGAAAAGGGGGGCACAACAAGAGAGAGAGACGAGGAGGAGGTCCACACTCTGCTCTGCTTGAGGAATCGTCCCACTCAGACATCTCTCTACTCACGCTCTACTTTCTGCTTACCAAGGTCTGAAAGAATAAATTAAACAGGAAGAAAGAAAAGGTAGAGATCGGAGGCTAAAGTGATTTAAACATCAAACCTTGAAGATATCATGTGTGAATCTTATTTTTTCCCCTTTCACTGTCATCAAAAGGTAAGTGTCACAAACACATTTCTCAACCTGTTTTCATTGTTTGAACCTTTGTCTTTTATTTAAACATATTGTGAAAATGCTATATTTTTTGGTTTATTTTCACAGAGAGAATGTTTGCACTGAACCCAAGATTCATTTAGTAAAATGATTTTTATGAATTATCCCTGTTTGAACCAAAAATAAAAATACTTCACCAGATGCAAAAATTATGTTTTCACAGCTATGCTTACATGCAGCTTGTCAGTTTTTGATTCACTACAGATAACATTAGTGAATTCTGCTGCTCAGTCTAAATCTAATATATGCTAATTAAATGTTCAGAGGATGCTAGAGATTCAATTTCAGATTTTAAGATCCAATTTGAGCATATAATGGTAAATACAGAGGAGATCAGGAGGAACATCCAGAACTTGAACATGAAGATATAATAAAAGCACGATCAGGAACCATGTGGGGGTGAGCGGGTTTGTTTCTGTCGTTAAATCCAGACACTTGGACATGTTTTATGTAACTGTCTGTATGATGATGAAGAGTGGAAAGACCTTTTCTCGGCAGGACGTGTTAACAGACAGGAGCTCATCCGTCTCTGCTTTTAATAAGGAAAGACATCTAGGGGTCCGTGGAGTCATACTTTAAAGATAACTGCAAAGGTGTTGTTTAGGGATTGTTTTTTTTAATCAACAGCTCATGAGCTCATACGTGTAAAAAAATGTATCTCTAGGATTGGGTGCTTTATCAAACCTGATACACCTAATGTGGGCATTGCATCTTGAGTGATTCTACTTGTGAATTACAGCACACCTGTCTTTTATCGATTTGAATACAACTTTAATTTTCCACCACTTATTGTTTTTTTCCCCATCCTTAAAATTCCTTTTTTTCTATTTTGAGTTTTTGTATAGATCCATTCACTTAAACCTCTTGAAAGTGCACCATGTCTGCACGTTGAGGATTCTAGAGCCTCTCGTCTTTAAACAGGATGTGTCGCATTCATCAGATTTATGGGACTCCTTTAAGACAAACACATATATCATGTTCAACACACGTGTGTTAAAGGAGCAGCACGCACTGACACGGTTTGCTTTAATACTGTGCACTGTTTAAAGCAACGCAAGAGGTCACGTGATAAACTGAAGTTCAAAGTGTCACATCCTTTTTAGAGGGCATTTTAAAGACTGAGCGCTGGTATCTGTTTGGGTGTCTCTCATGGTAAGAAAAGACACCAGTTAATAGGAGAACCTCATCATCAACTTTTGCTGAACTGATTTTAAAAAATGTTTGAGAGTTTTGTATGATGGATGTCTGTGCTCTCTGGACTCAGTTTGACTCTGAATGAATATGCAATCAGAGCAGTACATCAACAGTGACTGATACTAAGCTGATGCTTCATATCTCTACCTGCTACAGGTGTATAACTGTCTCATGCTGGTGGTCGGTGTGGTCCTCAACCGTTTGGCCCTCTATGTCTTCTGCGGGCCTCCACCCACTCATCAGCCTCTGTGGTTTACACCATGAACCTGGCCGTAGCCGACCTGCTGGTGGCGCTGTCGTTACCCGCTCGCATCGCTCTGTATCACAGCGGAGGTACCTGTGTGGCCTGCTCATACATTCACACCTTCAGCTACTTTGTCAACATGTACTGTAGCATATTGTTTCTAACCAGGTGGGTGGGCCACTCCTTAAGTCAGCGTTGAAAACTGATAGAAAGTGAATCAAATCTGTCAACATAATATACATAATAATATATCCGTATGACTTCCCTTCATACAGTATCTGTGTAGATCCCTACCTCGCTGTCGTCCATGCGTCCAGTACTCTGCACAAATGCAGGACTACAGGAACAGTATGGATCATTGCAGTGGTGGTCACCTACTCCTTTCAGGGAAAAAAATAAACATTTACTAACATGAAAGAACAAAAAAAAAAAAGTGGAAATGTGACATTATAGGCAGTAGCCAAACAAATACATGCACTTTTCCATGTGCTTATTCAGGGTACGCTTTCTTACTTGTAACAGGAAAAGCCACGCCAGGCAGTGGCGGCTCTAGACCACTTTTACTGAGGGGGCCAAACAGGGGCCAGTTGTTTGGTCAGAGAGAACATTAAACCCAGTTGAAAAATTAACAAAGATGATCGCTTAAATTTTTTAAAATATATTATGCCAAATAATAGCAACAAACATCATGATGTATATTTGTTTCAGTAACAGTATTTACCCCTTCCTTTTGGATGGGTGGCCACAGGGGGGTCCAAGATCTGTGTTACAGGGGCACTGGCCCCTGTTGGCCCCTGCCTAGAACTGCCCATGATGCCAGGTGATCGTATCAGGTGCTCCTCCTTCAACAGAAAGTTTGCAGTCTAAAAATGAAAAGAGCTGGTGAAGGCACACACATCGGCAACTCTTTAAGGCGACTGTTTGACTGTGCAGGGACAATTTCAAAAGGGGGTGGAA